TGGCCGTTGGCCCCGCCCTACCGTAATGGGCGGTAACGCTGTCGCAGGCCCCGCCCTACCGTAATTGACGGCCTGTGCGACACGGGTCTCTCCTGGCTGGGCCGTGCTGGAGCGGGTTTGGGCTGGCCCTCCTGACGGGCCGTCCAGCCCGAGCGCTTCATAAGCACCCCGGGCTACGAGCTCCCCCACAACTTACCGATTGAACGAACTGGGATTGGCTCTGGAGGTGGACGCTGTCATGCCACACTCGTAGGTTCTCCGGTCGGAGGGCCCCGAGCAGATCATCAAGTCCGCCCCCTGCCCTGGGCAGCAATGAGTGCTGGGATCGTAACACCCCAGCCAGATATCTGTCTGTGCAGCTTGCTCTTGAAGACCGGTGGGGTAGGGGAGAGCGCCGCCACCTCCCTGGGGAGCCCCTTCCAGAGCCTGGCAGCCCTCACCGGGAAGCGATGCCTCCTGATATCAACCCTGACCCTGCTCTCAATCAGTTGGCGGCCAGTTTGTTTCTGTTGTGCCTTTCCCGTGGGCAGCTCGGCGTGCTTGAGGGAGCTGCGAACGCCCCCGGCAGGGACAAACTCGCTTGTTCGCACTTGGGGAAAATGGCAACGTTGGATTGATGCTGAGGCTGTGACAGGCCAGGACTCGTGCAAGAGGCGAGGGTTTCTTAGGGTGGTATCTCTTACTGGACCAGCCGCCGAGCTGGGATAGAATTAGACAAGCATTTGAACGCAAGGCCGCCCTCGTCAGGTCTGAGCTTTCAAAAGCTTGTCTGACTCTGTCGCCGCTATGTGGTTGCTCCAAAAAAAGATATCACGCTAAGAAATCCCTGCCTGTCACACAGTTTGGGAAACTAAACCTCAAAAAAGTAATTATTTTCCCAAACCAAGCAATGAGTCATTAACAAGGTGTGCTAGAAATCGGGTGTTTTCCCTGCTCCAGCTTTGACAGCTCCCTGGGGAGTCTTTGCTTGCTATTATTGGACATGCAGAAGCAAAGAATAAATAGAAAATAATACCACAAAAGTTTTTTAAGGTGGAAGGCGGGGCCGGGTGGCCCTCTAGAGACTAACTGGTTCTGAGAAGCATGAGCTTTCATAACCTACAGCCTGCTTCATCAGGCTGGATACATGGACTCGCAGAAATAAAGGGTATTTAGTAGAAGGGAATTTAAATACAATGGAAGGGGACACTGCAGTCACTCGTATTGCTATCAGATAACGGGACAAAATGTCAAGTGAAACAGTCATTTGTTGTGTATGTGATCCATGTTTGTTGTATGACTCAGAGGTCACTTGTGCATCTGTCATGTTGCCAAGCATAAAAGTGAATCATGAATTACTGTAGAAAATTTAAATCGGATTAAACCAAACTCGCATTCTTTTTTCAAATATTCAGTTACATGTTTTGAAGTTATACTCAGCTGTGTGAAGTGTTATGATATTTTTCTGTGAACTTATGTACAAAACCTAAATAATTCAAAATGCTTGTTATTCCTTTTTCTTTTTCCCTGAGGTTTCAAGCTTCTGCCCTCCGGCACATTCTTGTAATGATTGGATCGGCCCTCCTGACAGATATTCAAACCTCCGGCCAATAATATTTTATGTTCCTAAAAACGAATCATCGCTGGAACAAAGACTTAGGGAATTTAGACAAGAAACTCAAATGTGGAATCAACAATTCTGGGCAAACCAGAATGTGTCATTCCAGCAGGTGAGCATGTAGATGAGGTACTAAGCCACTTGGTGGTGCTGAGTTTCTTTAAGAGCTTGCGGTGTTAGTAACTGATAGATGAATGGAATTATGTTTCTTAAGTGGAAGATTTTCACAGCTGCACTGCAGAGTGACCTTGAAGCATGATTGTTCTTTATTATATAACTCCTCAAAATAGTTGAGGTAATGCAAAGTATTTGTCTTCAAAAATATTATTATGTCTCTGCAGTTCTTTATCCTGTGCTTTTAAATTTGATTCTGTAGCTGATTCAGCCTGAGTAATGTCAAAGAAAACCAGTTTCTAATGCGTCTGTTTTTGTCAGTTTCTGTTTTTGCTATTATATTGTCTTCTCAATACTGAAGAGCACATTTAAAGATCAACTACATAGTTAACCAGTGTATGTCTAGCTGCTGTTTAATGCAGTATAAAAATATTCTCCCTTTTTTCTGGCTTTTTATTTAACAGATATCAGGGTATGATTGCCCTCTTTTATCCTGGAGCACCTGGCATTCAAGCTGGTTATTGAAACCCGAGCTGCAACCCTGATAACTCCACGATGAGTGGGAGCATAGATGCAGTTATAGAGGGAAAATAAGCAAGAGCTTTTCTGTCCCGATATATCTTCCTGACCATGACTTTGGGCAGGTCATTTTCACTCCTAGTCTCTCTCAGGTTTTTTTTATATGGTTGCACACTGGGGAGGAGATACTGAATTTTAGGTTGAGGGAGCAACAGCAGCTTAACTATTAACCCCCAGCTTTGATGACCTTTTCCAAGGTTCTCCAGAAAGTGATAAAGTTCTCTAAAGAAGAGAAAAGTTTGCTTCCTTTAAATGTCAAAAGAAAATTTTGGGGGTTCCTTTCTTTTTTTAGTTTTAAAACTTTTTTTTTGGCTGTTTAAGTAGCTTTGAATTAATTTAAAGGGGAAGCTACGTGTATTATTTGGACTCAACTTTGTGTATAAAGCAACAAGACCTAATTTGATAAATTGCCTTATTTAAAACTTACAATGTAAGGTCCTGATCCTGTGAACTTGCGCACGTATATAACTTAACTCACACAAACAAATCACATTTATTTCTGTGGGATTCTGTATATAAATAAACTCATACACACATGTAACGGTGTGCAGGATCAGGGCTCAGTGACTGTTTCCTTAAGAGGATCAAATTAACTTATTATTGGATTAAGCAACAAACACTGTTGTCATTACCAGGTTTAGTAAGGTCTAGAAATGGTCCTTTTACATGTTCTTGAAACTTGCTCAGTAAGCTGGTAGGTGGTATAGGTTGGCTAACTTCAAAGACTAAGTGTGTTAATGTGTGGAAACATGTGTTTTAGGGAAAAGAAGAATTCATTTATTCAAGACTGAAAGCTAAAGGTCTGCAAACAAGAGATGAAACAGGTCAGTGAGGCTGTTGTATGCAGTTTAGTGTGTCTTCTGTTTTACCTTTGGGTTTTGCTAATTTCAATTCCCCAGAAAGCTCAAGAGCAGTGGTCACCAACCAATGGATCTCAATCCACCAGTAGATCTCAGAACCTCTTGCAGTAGATCTCGGAGCCTCTTGGAGTCAATCTGAGGCTGGGGTGGAGGGGTGAGTGCCTGCATGTGTGCACCCCAGCCCAGCGGGTCGGTCTGTGGGGGAGGGAAGGGGTGGGGGCTAGATCAAGGCCTCTGCGGTGAGGGACAGTGCCACGGAGGCAGGAGCAGGGGTAAATTGAGTGGTGCCCTGGCCAGGTGAGACTTACCTGCTGGGGAGGCACATCCCCAAATATTTTTTTTTCTCCCTCTGCCTTGATTTGCCCCACTCCTCCTTTCTTCCCCATGGACTTACCTTCTGGGGGTGGGGGCAGTGGCGGTGCACAGTAGATCTTGGGTTCTTTTTTAAATGCCAAAAGTGATCTTCTACATAAAAAGTTTGGAGACCAGTGCTCAAAAGCAAATCCAGCCACCTCTGTGGCTGCAGGGGGATGCTGAGCATCTAGGAGCTCTGGCAGCCTGAGATCTCTGTTCCCAGGAAGGGAATCCATAATTACTTGGTAGTCCAAGTTAAAGCAACCCTTCTCCCCCTCACACATACTCACTCCAATGAAGTAGTGGAGCTGAGTGTTGGAGAGAGTTTGCTCCTGAACACACATTATGCTGGGGCTGCTAGCCTCACAAATCTGGGCTGTCTGTGGTAAGAGAGGGGCTGGTTTACCTGTGCTGCCCATGTGGCTGGGAAGGCAGCTAGGCTGTCCAGGCATGTGACCTGGGGGTCTACAGCCCATGCAGCGTGTGCCCCCCCCCCGCACTATCCAAAAATTGGACAGCTCTGGCTTATACATACAACATGCTTCCTTGACGAAGAGGGAGTCAACTTCTGAGGAAGGAACAGCTATTTCCCAAGTTTACTTGCCTGAACCCAGTTTCTGGAAAATGGTTGCATGTCTGTTTAATGAGATGGAACTAAAAATAAGATACTAATACAGGGGATCTGTAGAGCATGGTACTGAGCATGCCTGAAAAGAATCATTTGATAGATTGTATTGTCAGAGGAGGCCATGAAAGCATCTAGTCTGACCTGTGTTTTACAGATCATTACATTTCTCCTACTTATTCTTGTTTTTAATTCAGTATCTTGTTTGTTTGATTAATTAGATAAATTAGACTAATTAGATAAATTGAATTTCTGTCATGTTTTTTAAAATACCAGAATTTAAACTTATATCACAGTGTTAGTTTTCACTTTTTTTATTGTTTTATTTAGATTACAGAAATAACAGAAATAATAAATTTGTATATTTCCTGGAACTCATCAACTAGTAGAGATGCACTTTGTACAAGTGCTGGAGCAAACATTTTCCCATACAGTAATTTAAGAACAATGAAGAAGAGAACTGAAGCTTAAATGAATGCTTGTCTGTCCACAATTTACTTGTTTGGGAGTTTCTATTAATGTAACAGGTTACTTAAATACATTAATCATTTATACATCAGGCATTCTTTTCACCCAAATGCAAGAGAGTCTGCTCAACTGCTATCGGAATCAAGAAGTAAATCGAGAAAAAACAAAAAGAAATCTTGTAAACAATGATGTAACCTTCAAATTGTCTCGCTCTATATTACTCTCATGACACCTTAATCCCCTGCAGTATTTCAGAGCTGTGAATGCTATCATAATAATGACTAAGAATAATACTTAACGTTCCAAGTTTTTTAAGTGGCTTAAAAAAAGGTGTTATTTAAGTGCTCAAGTTTGAGTGAATGATACACAGGAATCCTGCCTCACTGTAAGTACATGAGTTTTCCCTGAAAACACTTGCTTAGATGCCTAAAATGCTGTTGCTGTGCATGCCCATGGTTAGCACATTCATGTGATTGCAGCTGCTCAGTGCCTTTCATGCACTTAGGCATGGGGACCAGTCCAGTAATTATGCTCGGAGCATACCTCACACATGCCAGTGACAATGACTTGAGCAACAAAGCATACAGCTATGACTATTTACATTAAAAAATAACAGCAAAAAGAGGAAGTAGCGGTGCCAGCACTGAGAGGGTTGAAAATGTCTTCACCCCAGTCTAGCCTACAGTGTGATTAGGGTGCTGTCCTGGTAGGTTGGAAGAATGGAAATGAATTGTCTCTGGCTGAGGATAGTTCAGATTACAGATCAACTCCTGAGGTGGAAATTATCTTTTAACTAAAAAACTCTCAAGGGGTGCCTTAAGGTCCTTTTGGGGTGCTGCATGATGTTGGCACTATTAGGTGTGCAAACGTGTTTCACAAGATAAACTCAGAGAGAAATTTCAAATAGAAATTCTTAGTGTTCAGAACATTCAGACTTATTGTGATCTTTTTGAGTGCTTTACAACAGGTGAATTGCTCTATTGTGTAAAAGGTTGGGACTGACTTCATTACTCCTCTGTGTCTTAGAAGAATGCATGAGCTATTAAGTCTTTCATAGAGTAGGAAATACAAAAACAGAAATTGCTATAGTTAGACTGTAGTTTAACCTTTGGCTTCAGAGTTATTATCGTTGTGCCTACAGGTCACAGGGCCAACTGTGCTAGGCACTGTGCAGAGACAAAGGGTGAGAGATGTAAAAGTGAGTTGCAAAAAACTCAGTGACTCAAGGTCACACAGGAATTTGAGTGGCAGCACAGTAACTGAACATAGGTCCCTTCAAGTCCAATCCAGTGTGTTAACAATTTTATATTTAAATGTACTTTCAGGTCGCAAAATAACACTGAATGCAGAAGAAATGGCTGACTTTTACAAGGAGTTTTTAAGTAAAAATTTTAAAAAGCATATGTGTTATAACAGGTATGTTGAATGCTACATCTTATCAGCTACTTTGAAGGGACACTATCAACCTAAAGTATTCTTCGGTCTGAAATGTTTCTCCTGCTATTGTTACAAATAACAACTATGATGAAGATTACTGATAAAGGCTAGAAAAGATGCATACATTCTCTTTTTTTCCACCGTTATTTACTTTGCATTTAACAACTGTTTATGGATAATCCCTTTGAGTACTTCTTTTATGGTTAAATGCAGCATCCCTGAATCACTGTTAGTCTTGCTACAGACTTCAATAGGAGCTGGGACACGTGTTCAGCTAGTTAGTTTCCTCTTTTATTATGTGGGTATTTCATACAGTAACATGGAAGGGGGAAAGTCAACATAGGTAAACATGAAATTAAATCCATTTAAATTATATTTCAGTAATGAGATTTTATTTAGCCACGTACCTTTTCAATAAATTGAATAAGGCAGTAATTTAAAAAGTCATGTCAGTTGCATTATTTTTGGTATCGCAATGTTGCCCGTAACCTTGAGGAGGTGAAACTGATTGGTACTGTTTTGTTGGGGGTGTGAGAAGTTGTGTGAGTTTTTTCCTTTTGCTGGCTGTGACTGCGAAGCTTCAGGTGCTGAATTGATTCAGAGGTGCTGAATTGATTCTGTCTACCCCTCCTCTGACCCTGTGCCATTTGTTGAGGACGTGTATTGCTCTTTGACGCAGAGCGCCACACCCCTGCCTTTCCTCCCCGTTCTATCTGCCTGTACAGTCTGTAGCCCCTAATGTTTACCGCCTAATTGTTCATTAGAAGCTTGTAAAGTAATAGTTATAGTAACATGAATCTCTTTGATTCCAATAACTCTTCAACACAACCCAAAGAAATAGACTCCACAACATGGGTGAGAAAAGGTGCCGAGATGCTCCATCAGGTGCAATATTGAATTAAGTTCACAGTAGGCCTGTGCAAAGCAGATAGTATTCACTTCGGATCTGAATTCAGCCGATTCAGGGGACAGTGATTCAATTCGGTGATTTGATGGACGATCCCAACTGTCCCACACTGCATGGGGGCCTCTGCACAAGCCCCCCTGCCCAACCCCCATCCAAGCCCTCCCATGGCTGTCCCGCCTGCCCCAGCTCTGGCCCTATAAGAAAAAAAAACAAAAAGCCCCCCAGACTCGCTGGCTCTTGCCCAGCATGGGGTGATCCCTGCTGCCCCGCATTGCCCCATGCTGCATGGGGAGCTCTGCACAAGGCCCCCAAAGCCCCAAGGCCACTGCAGGAATTGGCAAGTCCAGGGGGTTTTGGGGGTTTGTTTTTTTTCTTAAAGGGCTGGAGCTGTGGTGAATGGGGCAGCCATAAGGAGGCTGGGGGAAGTAAGGCGGGAGGGGGGTCAGGGGGCTCATAGCAGGACCCCCCATGCAGTGTGGGGCAGTGGGGATTCTCCCGCTGCCAGGTAGCACCCAGTGAGTGGGGGCTTTTTTTTTTTTTTTTTTAAAGCACCGGGATCTGGGGGGGATGGGGCAGCCATGGGTGGGGACTGGGGGAGCAAGTAGGGGATGGGGCCTGGCAGGGGTCCCCCCATGGTCCCCTCCCCTCCTGCTCCCTACTTACCAGCTCCAAGTCCAGCTCCAGCACCCTGCTGCAGCAGGTGGGGACTGCACAAATCATTGAAGCTCTCCAAATCTTTTCCGAACGGATTCGGAGAGCTTCAGATTGATTCAGACCTTTTTATTGGTCTGCTGATTTGATTCGGATTTGGAGATTCGGCCAGCAAATCGGGCCGAATCTCCTCTGAATCGATTCAGCACCTGAAGCTTCGCACAGTCACAGCCAGCAAAAGGAAAGCTAGTTTACAGCCAGCAAAAGGAAAACTCACACAACTTCTCATACCCCCAACAAAACAGTACCAATCAGTTTCACCTCCTCAAGGTTATGGGCAACATTGCAATACCTAAAATAATGCAACTGACATGACTTTTTAAATTACTGCCTTATTCAATTTATTGAAAAGGTACGTGGCTAAATAAAATTTCATTACTGAAATATAATTTAAATGGGTTTAATTTCATGTTTACCTATGGGTAAGAATACATGGGGGTTGTGGGGAAAGGGACTTAACGGTGGGTGTCTACTACAGACTACCCAACCAGTGGGAGGAGCTGAACCAGGAATTCTCAGGTCAGCTCGTGGAGGCAGTTAAGTCAAGGGATGTGGTCATCATGGGTGACCTAAACTACCCAGACATCTGCTGAGAGGAGCAGTCAGTCAGGTCTGACCGCTCATGTAGGTTCCTAGCCGAGATACACGACTTCCACCTAACCCAGGAAGTGCACAGTCCCACTAGGGGAAATGCCTTGCTTTATCAGCAATTTGGATGAGGGTAAAAAGCACCTTGTTCAGATTCATAGATGACACTAAGATATGGGGAGAGGTGGGCACAATAGAAGGGAGGGACAGGCTACAGCTAGATCTGGACAGGTTACAAGGGTAGGTGGATGAGAATAGGATGGGGTTCAATAGTGACAAGTGCAGGGTACTGCACCTAGGGAGAAAGAACTAGCAGTATATTTATAGGCTGGGGAACTCCCTTCTCATCAGCACAGAGGCAGAAAGGGATCTTGGAGTCATTATTGATTCCAAGATGAACATGGGCTGCCAATGTGAGGATGCGGTCAGGAAGGCTAATCGCACCTTGTCATGCATCCACAGATGCAGCACGAACAGGTCCAAGGAGGTGATCCTCCCCCTCTATGCAACATTGGTCAGGCTGTAGTTGGAGTACTGCGCCCAGTTCTGGGCACTGCACTTCAGAGGGATGTGAACAGCATTGAGAGGGTCCAGAGTTGGGCCACTCGCATGATCAGGGGACAGCAGGCAGAAGAGAGGCTATGGGACCTGAACCTGTTCAGCCTCCGCAAGAGAAGGCTGAGAGGAGACATGGTGGCCGTCTGTAAACTTACTAGAGGGGACCTGCGGGGAACGAGGGAGTCCCTGTTCCCATGAGCACTACCAGGAGTAACTAGGAATAACAGCCACAAATTGATTGAGAGATCAGGCCAGACATCAGGAAGCATTACTTCACAGTCAGGGCAGCTAGGATCTGGAACCAATTTTCAAGGGAAGTGGTGCTCACTTCTACCCTGGGGGTCTTCAAAAGGAGGCTAGATAATCACCTAGCTAGGGTCATTTGACCTAGCATTTTTTCGGGGGTTGGACTTGATGATCTGGTCATGACCCTTCCAACCATGAAACTAATTTTTCATATTACACATTTACAGTAAATTGAAGTTTGTAGAGAAACTTTTCCCTGTATTTACAGTAACAATTGCATTAAACTTAGCAGTTAGTCAGTCACAGAAAACACCACAGAAACATCATCAAAACACAGGCATTAAAAAAAAATGTTATTAATTTTTAATAAGATGGTAACAAACATAGCAAACATTATATTAACTGATGGTTGAGAAGGCAGACTGCTACACACTAACTGCCCATGGGAAGGTTTAGTGGGGTGAACTGTGGCTGGTATCCATCCACCTGGTAAAGAGCATTCAGAATCTGTTCCCGGATGGGGCCCTGCTTGTTATTACCCTGCCATCAGTTCATCTGCTGAAGTTACATCATTTTAATTAACAAGTGTAATTATACAGTCTTGGAAACAATGGCATGCATTGTAGGTATTGTGGCTTCCAGGAGCCTCGCTTGTAGAATCTGGTATTTATGCGTTCAACTCAGTGTTCTCTCACAGCCTTGCCAGCTGGATTCAAAGTTGTGACTGTCATAGTATTGAAATTTGAACTCTACAGTGCTATTTAGTGTAGTATGACTGCGCACTGGTTCATGAATATGTATTTGGGAATATTTATACTGGAAACTGTCTAATTCTGAAAACTGGAGTAGGATTGTTAGCTTTCAATAAACAGGAAAAAAGGCAAAGTTTTATATGCATAATTCTGGAAACAAGAGGAGAAGGAAGTAATTCCTTTATTAATTAAGTTGATTTCATATTATGTTTTTGTGTGTAATGTAAGGCTAATTAAGAGCCTTCTCTTAGATTGGGCCCTTATTGTAGAGCTAATAGCACTGGCTTGTGCCAGGCATGTGCGTATAAGCTTTCCCACAGAGTTCTGCCAAAAGACCACAATCCTGATCTTTAACACCCCCTGGCATTCCAGTTCTAAGTCTTTTTTTTAACATATCCTGTTAATTGTGCAACATTTTGTGACATGGACAAAGAGCCATTGGGAATAAGAAGGAAATGACACAATTTATTTTTAATTTGTAACAAGGGCAAGGATTTGAGACAAGCTCTCTAGAAATGAAAGACTGGGATGGGTCATTGTACATAGACCTTGACTCAGTTCTAAAAGCCATGCTTCAAAAGCCCATCTAAACAAAAAGTTAGTATGTAACACAAACTTTGAAAATATGGTAGCTATAGTCCTAACCAAATATATATACTGATTTGGGAACTGCGCATTTACTACATGAATCATAGATTCATAGATTGTAGAGTCGGAAGGGACCACAATGGATCATCGTGTCTGACCCCCTGCCCCTGGCAGGAAAGAGGACCGAGGTCAGATGACTCCAGCCAGGTGACTGTCTAGCCTCTTGAAGACCTCCAAGCTAGGTGAAAGCACCACCTCTCTTGGAAGCCCATTCCAGATCCTGGCCACCCTTGCTGTGAAAAATGTCTTCCTAATATCTAACCTAAATCCATTCTCAACTAGTTTACACCCGTTATTCCTAGTCACTCCCTGGGGCGCCCTAGTAAACAACGCATCACCTATTCCTTGTTGACCTCCCCTAATAAATTTATCGGTGGCCACAAGATCTCCCCTCAGCTGTCTCCTGTGAAGGCTGAAGAGATTCAGCTCTCTCAACCTCCCCACAAAGGGTCTTTCCCGAAGGCCACTAATCGTGTGAGTGGCCCTCTGGACCCTCTCGAGATTCCTCGCGTCCCTCTTGAAGTGTGGCGCCCAAAACTGGACACAGTAGTCCAACTGTGGCCTGACCAGTGCCACGTAGAGGGGGAGCATCACCTCCTTTGGTCTATTAGTCATGCACCTGCTAATGTACAACAAGGTGCGATTGGCCTTGTTGATGGCCTCGTTACACTGCCGGCTTGTGTTCATCTTGGAGTCAATTATGACTCCAAGATCCCTCTCTGCCTCGGAGCTGCTGAGAAGAACACTCCCCAACCTATAGGTGTGCTGAGGGTTCCTTCTTCCCAGTTGGAGTACCTTACATTTATCTTTATTAAATGACATCCTATTTCTCTCTGCCCATTGATCCAACCTTTCCAGGTCGTCCTGAATCTGCTCCCTGCCCTCCGGTGTACTAACTTTGCCCCATAACTTGGTATCATCAGCGAACTTGGAGAGGGTGCTCTCCACGTCCTCATCCAAATCACTGATGAAGGTATTAAGTAATGCCGGTCCAAGGACCGGACCCTGCAGGACCCCACTGCCCACCTCCCTCCAGGCCGAGAAGGAACCATCCACCACCACTCTCTGGGTGCGGTCCCTAAGCCAGTTGGCCACCCACCTGACCGTGTAGGTGTCCACTCCACAGTCTGCTAGCTTCCCAATGAGGATAGGGTGCGAGACTGTGTCGAAGGCCTTCCTAAAGTCCAGGAAGATACATCAGCCTCAGCTTCTGCGTCCAGGCAGCGTGTGACCTGGTCATAGAAGGCTACAAGGTTTGTCAGGCAGGATCTACCTGTGACAAACCTGTGCTGGTTTCTCCTCAGCATTGTTTCACCTGCTGGGCCTTCACAAATGTGTTCTTTGATTATTTTCTCTAGCATTTTCCCAGGGATAGAGGTAAGACTGACTGGCCTGAAGTTACCTGGCTCATCCCTTCTCCCTCTCTTGAAAATGGACACCACATTGGCCCTTCTCCAGTCCTCAGGGACCTGGCTGGAGCACCATGAGTGTTCAAACAGCAGTGCCAGTGGCTCAGCTATGACACTGGCCAAAGCAAAGCCTCCTTTCTGCCTTGAAGGGTGGTCAAATTCACCCACGTCAACAAATGTATAGGCAAGCAGACACACAGACAACCAGTAGCACAGTGCTGTTCATGAAGGAAGTTTCCCCCAACTGCTTAATGATCAGCTTCCTTCTGAAATGTGAGGTTTATTACCCTTATCTTAGATTGCATAATATTAAATATAATTGTTCATTAGATTATTCAACCCCCTTTTAACTCCATTACATCATTAACCTCTGGTTGCTTGCAGCCATGCATTCCACAGGCTGATTACACAATGTGTGACTTAGTACTTAATAGCAGGAAATACAAATTTTCAGAGGCAAGTTCTAATTAGGCAGGAGAAACAAGGCTGCCAGAAAAGAGAAAGGTACGTCATTAGTGAATTGTCATGTATCAGTGTTTAAAGATCCTTAATTGTAATTGTGTATCTGTCTCTTCTGTTTTCATTTTGGGGCTGATGGCTTTTTTCATGTTGGAATGCAGAGATTGGTATAAACGTAATTTTACTATCACGTTCCTCATGGGACAAGTGGCACTTGAAAGAGCTTTGAGGAGGCTTGTATGGAAAGAGACAAACAATGGAAATTAAAGCTCACCACCCTATGGAAAATACAACAATATAGTGAAGCCTGTCCACATGCTGTCTGCTGTCAACATTCAAAATCTAAACTGCTAATACAGTCATTACCAAGATTTATGTTTATCTTAAATATTAGGCCACATAAATGAGAATTATTCTTGCTCTTGAATTTATAGCTATTGTTCACATGTATATTCCCATTTCATATCCCCAAATCTGGCCAACAAATAACTATATTGGCTACTTACCAGTGCATTTTAGATGCACTTGGTTAACTATTTTCTCATACTAGTTAATGTAGAGGTATGTTTGAATGAAGAGATCAGTGCAATTTGTGATTATACATTGAATCAGCCCATCTTAGAATGATCGAAATACTGCTTTTCTTCTTTTTAAGTAAGCCTTGATTTAATACTCCCATAAATGACCAAAACAATAGTCTTCTAAATCTCATTTTTGTCTTTAACAGAGTAAAATGCATCAAGTAAGCAATTTGTCCCTGTTGTCAGAACTCATTTACCAGCCATGAGGGAATGCCTGGCTGTAAGTGAGGTAAACAGTGTTAGTAACTAGTAACAGCCATATCTGTTAACTACATAGTACAAGTTTGATGTTCTCAGCAGCTTCCTTGGATGCACAGAAGTCCTTTTTAGCTTGAGAGGGAGTTTTGATCCTGCACGCATGCACGCACGTGCGCGCACACACTCACACACACTCTCTCTCTCTACATTGTAATTGTACCATTCATACATGGTTTGAAAGAGATGATATTGCAGTGAATGTGTGCCCTGTCCACTTATCCAGCTGAACAGATGGATCCTTGCTATGATGCCTGAGAAGTTGATTTTGCTGAATTTGTCTGTGTACTTGAACAAAAGTGTGCATTTAAAGCTCCCTACCTCTCCTAAATTGCTCTCCTTAGGCACCACCTGCTCACAGTTCCCTAAAGGCCAGTGACCCAGCTACAGTGCCTTCTTGTCTGGTTGCTCTTTGAATTCAGCAGGTTTAGATCTGTAGAAAGAAAGGGCAATGTCTCTGTAAAGCATCCTTTCCCAGTATTCATTCAGACCCTCTGACAGCTACATTCATTGTGCTTTTCAGACTCTTTGAAAATAGCTGTAGAGGCCATAGCTCACTGCTCCAGCCCTCGAGATATTTTGAAATCTGCACAATGATCTGGATATTCAGGGCATCCATGGATTTGGAGGGTGATGTTCCAAATTATCACCATAATTGCTTGATAGAGTGACAAGTTGGAAACTTGGGGGTTTCTACGTTACTTAATTAAGTCCCAGAATTTTCTGTTTATGAGCATGATTCAGGCCTATGCTGCTTTATTGTAGAAGTGAATCATTAAATATGTGTAGTACAGCCTCAAAACTGCAATAAATATGTGCAATATGGCCTCAAAACTGCTCCAGTTAGTATAGATGACTGGCTAAATTAATAATTAATTTATAAGCTGCAACTTCAAGAACCGTAATGCAATGTGTTTCAATAATGTGATCTTATATACATTCACACACAAACTTAAATACCCAAGTGAACCATCCTATACTGGGCTTTTTATTTCTGGCAGCACTGTAAGGAAGTGTCAACCATTTGCTCATTCTCCGTCTGGTATGATAGAGGTTTTTGTCTGGGTCATAATTACCAAACTCATTTCACATAGACACACCCCTAAAACAGCTTTCAGATGTTGGCACTTTCAATCACTGCCTCCCTGGAACAGAATTGAACCAGCATTCTCGGGGGAATGCTTTGGTTTTATAAGTAGCAGACCAACTGTTACTGACACATTTTCTTTTGTTGAGGAATATGTAGTCAGTTGTGACTGACTGGGGCAACTGGATTTGTGTCTGGGCTAATATTTTTTTAATGCTTTTTACATTAGTGAACTTCAAATTGTCACTGATTTGTGCTGGTAAACTTTATTGATAGATTTATTTTCATTTCAATTACTGTGGTTGCCAATGTGTTATTCTTTTCTTTCCCATTAAACTGACATACCTTTACAGCATTGATATACAATTGGAATTGGCCCTGTTATATGTTTGTTAAAATATGTTTGAAATGCCCTATTTTTAAATATATATATTTTTCTGAAATAAAGCATCAAATGTGCATATGTAGTGTGTAATGCTCAGTGTTTAAATGAACTCGGCTACAGCGTATCTTATACCATACAAACTTAGACTATATTATCACTAAAATTATCTTTACATTACATTTCAAATAATTCTGTTCTGAAAAACAAGGACAACTCCACTAAAATGATTTTTTCATGTTCAGAAGCACTGTGAAATCAGCATCAGGCTTCCGCATCCAATGTAATAGTGCATAGCCAGATTGTATCTGGCATTTGCTGAATAGAGGAGCACTTATGGTGTAGCATAAATGCCCTCCCCCTTTTAGACTGAGTTTATAGCTAGTGTTCACATTTATATTCCTTCACAGCTCCTTTCCCTCTTAGACTGGGTTTGGGACAGGTGGATCAGCACAGGGTTGGGATCTGTTAGCCATTTGCCTGATACGTTGACAGGTTCCCCCTTTTTGCTTTCTGAAGGAAAAAATGTAAAAGTCTCATCCGACAAATGTTTTGGGAGTAGCCTCTCTCTCATTTTTGGAGTCTAGCATATCATAAGTATGTTTGCTGCGTGAGATCAGGATTGGGTTTGAGATACTTAACCAGATGTACTGAAGTTGTCCTGTCTTCTATTGTCTACCTTAAGAAAAAAAACTAGAGATTTTTCTAGGCAGCTTCAGCTGTGCAACTTTTGGATACATGCTCATTCTTAAATCAGTTGAAGTGGTTTTACTGTCCTTTCTTAGGACAAAAAACAAAGATCAGCGTTTTCAAAATTGGATATTGATTTTGATTACTTCCATTTTTTTGGATTCACAGTGTGAAACACTTGGGTTCTCATTTTCAAACTGACTCAAGAGGAGCTCCCACTGCATAGCTAGTCTGAGAACCAGATCGAAAGGGTCTCATATGAGGCAAACAGAACCTGCGAGACACCAAAACAGGGGGCTTAGGTGTCTAAATTCTGCCTAAATCCAAATTGTGATCTTCAGAATCCTGGCTCAGCTACTGTCTAATCTAGGTGGTATCTAAACTCCAGAGGTGCTTGGAGCTGTGGTTCCTGACAGCTGAACATCTCTACATAAGCCCAAATGGGATTCAGAAAGTAGATGCAACTCTGCCTAAGCAGAGTTGACTAGATCTAAAAGGCATTCTTAGAACCGTGGTTCTGCATGTGCCCAGAACTGCTGCAGTCCTGACAGCTGAACATCTCTGTATGTAAGCCCAAATGGGATTCAGAAAGTAGGTGCAACTCTATTCAAGCCTCTAAAGCAGGGGTGGGCAAAATACAGCCTGTGGACCGGATCCAGCCCACCAAGGGATTTAATACATCCTGTGGTGGGTCCCTTGGCCCCACCCAGCCCACGTGTAGGAGGTCAGCCTGGGCTGTGATACATGTGGCTGGTCTTGCTGCCCCAGGTGCACAACAGCTAGGGCAGCATGGCAGCCAGACTCAGCTTCCCAGCAGTGGTGGCTCCTTCTAGCTGCTAGTACCAGTGTCAATACTGCCACTGCTAGCCCCAGGCCCACTGCCAGGTACCCTGGCCCATCTGCCCTACACTCACTGCCACAGGTGTCAGATGGAGCAAGTGGGTGGGTGGGGCCTCCAGGGAAACCAGCCCGGGACCCCTGTGAGCAAGATGTGCTTGGCCGAGTGGATGGGATGGAGTTGTGGTCAGGCAAGGAGTGGCATCTGTGAGCAGGGCCAGGGCCAAGGCTGGGATTGCAGGGTAGTGACAACACAGGCCCATGCTGGGAGCGGACCCTGGCTCCATGCTGTCACTGCCCTGAGGCCCTGGCCCTGCCTGCCAATCCTACTCCTGGATGCTACTTCCCACCTGCCTGCTGTACCATTCTACCTGCCTCGTTGAGTGTACCTGGCCTGCGGAAGTCCAGGGTGGGTCTCCATGGAAAGCCCTCCCACCTGTCTGCTCAGTCCAGTGCCCCCAGACTGGTCTAGTAATCTACCCCTTAGGGAGTTTTGGTGAGCTGTTGCTGGGGCAGGGGGAGGAGGGGTGGTGACCCAGCCCACAACAGCTCACCAAAGCTCCATAAGTGGCCCCTGGCCCAAATAATTCCCCACCCCTTCTCTAAAGACTAGATCAAAAAGGCATTCTCAGAGCCCACTCAGCACCCACAGACAGAATTGCACTCCCTGCAACATGCAGTGGCAGCTACTGCTTCTGAAAACCACAGGGGCCCCCTTCCTGCATAATTATAGCCACTTGCTCAGAAACCATAAGATCCAGGTTCAGTTGCCTCCTTGGCATGAAGGGGCTCAAGCTCACGCTTCCCACTCCTAAAGAAGTACTCCACAGACTTGAGTTTGGGGGAGCACTCCACTTCTCCTGTTGAAGCTGTGCAGAGGGAAATATATTTATTGCAATATTCACTGGCTAATCATAAGGCAAAGCATGATTCAGGAGCTTACTGGGTAGGCAATCAGCTGGGTTCCAGTTCCTACTTCCGGAGGTGTTTCTGTAATTATTCAGTGAAAATTTTATATCAAAGAGTTTTGTGTTAAACTAGTTAATGTGCATTATTTTCAGGTGCCTTACCCATCACCTTTCAGTCCAGTTGCCTCTTAGCCCTATTTTCACCCTGCCACCTATAGCCCAACTATCCCAGAACCCCAACACCCATTGTTTAGTGCTTGGCATCCACATCCAGCACCTTACTCTAAGCGTACTTTCTCCAGAACACCCCGAGCCTCCTTTGCTGCCTCCTGTATAGTCCCACCCTCCGCCTGTCCCAACCCCATGTGATCCTGTTGGCTACAAAGGACCAACTCACAGAATCATCATAAAATTCTAGTTTATTAGAAGGATGCAAAAGTCAGATCATAAAACTTGGGGCTGATCCCCTCAAACACACACACATTCATGCACACACACACACTCTCAGTAGCTAGGTATGAACACTAAGCACTGGTGTCAAGATATACCTATCCCCAAGTGCTAGAGTCTGCCGGCGATGGCCAGTCGAGGCTTCTTTCAGTGCAGTGTTGTTTCAGAAGGAGGTCGCTGGCTGGTCCTTCTGGCTGGGCAGGCAAGGTGCTGGTCAGGTCGAAGAGGGTGCCATAGGGGGTCATTCTTCACTGCCTTTTATCCCTCTCTGGCAGACTTTGCTGACTCCCCAATTTTCAGGCTTACCCAATCCAGGGGTCGTTGACCTTGTGGGACGTCCCCCTTGGTGGTTGCTAGATGGCAGCTGTCAGCCCCAGGGGTCATGTCCGCAGGTATGTGCAGTCTCGGGAGTCCGTTGATGAAGTTTGATTAATTCACTGCTGTGATTAGTTCAAATGGGGGCTTCTTTACCTTTAACAGTGAAGTTTCAGGGAGTTCCTGGCTCTGTATTGATCCTCTCCTTAGTCTGTGGTTTGGTAGGTGTTAATTGCTGCTCATTAACATCTTATCCTGTCTAGCTACTGTGTGACACAATCAT